TTTTTTAAATTGAGCAGCTGAAATATAACTTTTTACACAAGCATGTTTGTGTTTTGGTATTTAGAGTAATTTAACACGAACCTTAAAAGCTGTCAAATAAATCAAACTGCTAAATCACAATAGTAAAGAAACCGGCCTGGGGAAAAAGAAAATACAAATCTCATTTGACCCTGAATACTATGACTTAGCTTCTGTTTGTTCTCTACTATAGCTGATTACTCACACAAGTACTGCAATCTTTTCACAGTACTTGGAATCTGGTCTACGTCATAAACAAAGGTTGCACTGAAGTCTTTTAACAGACTTCCAAATGATGAAATCACAGTAAGGAAAAACACAAATATGTTCTTATCTTTCAATTTGGACTTGATAAACCTTTTCCACTGACAGTCTTACACACAACTGTTTGGCCCCTGGCAATGTGTCTAGACAACGTCTCTTATTTGTTTCAGTTCTGAAAGATACGCACTAAATAAAATGGTCATCACAAAAAACCTCATGAAAAACAGATATAAAGATAAAAAAAAAAGAAAATCTTCTACAAAAAGCAATTAGGTCTGCTTTCTGTATTTCCTTTATTCTTGAATAGTAGAAAAAAAAAATCATTGGAAGCCTGCTGCTCACAGCATCATAGATAAATTGGTCCAGATACCAGCTATTCACCAGGGCACAACAAGCAGATACTTAAGGAAAATGAATACTTTAAAAATTACATACAAGAAGGTGTTGGCAATCACAGAACATCTTTCTTAGCCAAAACCTCAAAACCCCATGGAAATAACAGAAAAACACCTAAATGTCTTGCTTTCAACAGCATCACCGGCAACATATGCTAAAGTTCACTCATACTGTGTAATCATTCTACAGTCACATAGTCACATAACCCAGTATAATTTGTATATTACTGAGCTGGAGATTTTTAATGAATTATCATTATGATAACACATGTCCCTGTAGCTGACCAAAACCACAAAGAATGATTTGGATGAGGTATTTTAGATACTAAGTCTATCAACTCCACTACTGCCGTGGCACACATGGTACCTGTAAAGTGTGAACTGTAGACTGACTCTCAAAACCTGTATGTATAGTGAACGCTTCATTTATGAAATAGTGGCAAAAAGTAAAAATACTGCAACCAACAGGAAAGAATTTAAAACAAAAATAATGTGATTAAAACTTCAACTGCAAAAAAGGGAAGGGGAAAGCATGATAGTAAACAGATAGAGATATAAGGGTTTTCCTGAGCAAGACAAAGCTCCATTTTTGTCAATAAGAGAACCTTAATGAAAGGTTTACCAGCAATGAACCTTAAAGTTGTTTGAGACACCAGCTTGATTCTGCAGTTATTTCAAGAATTAAAATTTAATGGATATGATTCGCACTAGAAAACAATGCAAAAGTGGATAAAAAGGTCCACGTTAAATTCAAAACCTTTGTATTAAAGTATACCTCTGTAAAAGAAAGCACAATGAAAGGGTGTCTTTTCCTAAATGTACTTTTTCAGTGTAAATCAACATTTTCTTTCTGAACAGTTCTTTAGCATGGAAAAGAAAGAATGATCCTTTTTTTTTGCAAATGTGAAACAATGTGCCAAGAATACTTAGGAAAAAAGATTTACCTGCTGCAGGTGGTATTATGTTTCCAAATGCAGAACTGAAGAACTTCTACTAGAACTTCAGAATTCAGGGGAAAAGACAGTGTCGTTATGCATTGCTCTTTTAATCATTCTTGATCTTCTTTAGAAGCTCAGCTATTGTCCTTAACATGCATACACTTGAACTGAATTTTAAATTTAGTACAGTGAATACCTTTAAAATGACCTGCTTAAATCTGTGCCTCCAGTATAAAAACCCAACTTGTCCTATGCCTTAAATCATTATTCTTTATAGGGAAAGAAGATTACTCTCACCACCATCAGTGCAAATTCAACAGAGTAAGATCTTCTGATTCTGGGGTTTGATTCTCAACAACTCCAAAGGTTTTGTAACACTTACAGACTGTCCTGACAGCTTACATCCTTCAACCTGAATACTGGCAAACTGCGCAAGGCTTTCCAGCCACACTTGTGTTTACTTACTGCCATCAATAAGAATTTCAGAAGAGAGTTACAAATCATTGGGGTACTAGGAGGAACTGATGAGGCAAAAATGATGGTCTTTAAATATTTCACCAGATTTTAATACAAGTAGTATTAATTAAACATCAAAAAAGAAGATAGCAGAGAATGTACAACACAGGTTTGAACTTTGCAAGTTGTCACAAAGAAGCTGTAAGCCTGGCTCCAGACTAGAACATAATTCAAACACATTAAATTCTGCAGTTAAACATTAAGCTGTTAATACACTAACAGCCTTCTATTACTGACTGCTCCTCCACCTTTCAGGGTAATACATTAACAATTATTTCCACCGCATCAATCAATAGATGCTCTATCATCTACCATAATCCAGCAGGTAGCACTGAAGCCAACTGGCAGGCATGATGGAAAATCAACTCCTATTTTATTGCAACAAATCAAAGATCTATTTATGTCAAAAGTCTCATCAAAAAAAAAGACATAGTTTAATTTTTTTAAATAGCTTTATAAATTTGGAGCAGTCAGAGAATAATTATTTCAGCCACAACAGAGTAGTTCCAACTCTACCTGCCTTTATATTATTGTCTTAAGAGATGACATTTTTATGGCTGATAATGTCAGAATACGAGAAGCTAAATGCAGCAAGGGCAAAAGATCCATGCCTGCTGCAGAACACACACTGTCATAATTCATGCTGGAGCCTGAGTCAAACCATTCTTCTGTTGTCATCAAACACTACTGGAATAAAACAGTATTTCTTCTCCTGTGGATACTCATTCAGATTACATACCACTCTCCCACCACAGACAGTTAATATATCTGCTTGCCTGGTAGAAGTCTGTGTAAGAAACCTAAGGATTTCATCAGTACATTGCCCATCAAGAAGGATCAGCTGTTATAAGGCTGTTATATACAAAAATACATTAATTTTAACCCCCCAAATCTTAGACATTAAGTTTTTAGAAATGTGAAAATAAAGTCTTGGAAACTGATTCTGCTACCTTCTGTGCATGCCTCTTCACACCACACCATCTACATATGCAAGCAAAATAAATACACATTTTCCTTCAGACTAATGAATCATTCAGTACTCAGGGTGAACAATGCTCCACAAAGCAGTTGTGGAGCACTGATGGTTTACCCACAGTATACCAACCTTGTTTAGAGAAGGTGGAAGATATTCAGTGAACATTCCATTACATTAAGGAGGAGTATGCTGTCATGCATTAAAACGTTACTCTTTAGAATCAAAAGTAGTGTCTGTTTTTATCACAGGGGTCTTTCATGCTACATTAATTCATACATCACGTTCCAACCTCCAAGTTACACAGTTTCCTCAGAAACTAAACAGAGGTATAAGACAGTCCTGTAACTGAAGCTGTTAAGCATACTGGGTATGTACTTGTCTTGAAATTCCCACCCAATTTAAAAATGTTCCTGGAAAATAAGGCACTTGCTGTCTGCTCTTGCCAGAACTCCATGGTTTGCATTAGATGTTCTCAGTCTCTTTTTTTACCACAGTCTTTCAGAAGCAAATCACAGCTATTCTGCAGTCCAGGTTTGCTGCTGCTGCACCCTGCTTCTCAACACCACCCTTCCTGAAAAGGCCTTTGCCAACCATCTTACATCTGACTGGAAATGTTCCCATCAAGTGAGAAGAGAATGTCCTGATGAACACAGAACAAACTGAAAGTATCTGGATGTTTTGGGGAAAGTTAGGAGCAGCTCATTACTCAAACAGCAAACAGTCTACAGAAAGCAAAGACATCACAGGATACCAATCTCAGACTACAACCAAAAATCTCAGTCAGATCATAGTTATTCCTGCTTTTAGTTTCATGGTTCTTAGCTTGAGACATCTTATTTGGAGAAACTGCAATTGTGATCTAACAATAGTTGAAGACAGTTGTAACAATAAGATGAAGAGGAGGAAATGGGATCCACACTGATGTTTTCATCTTAACACATTAGTTACTCAACATTAAGTAGCTGCTCTTCCCAAATATGTAAAAGTAAAAAGATGATTAAGAGGCAGTCATGCAGTTTAAAGGAAAGATGGGTGTCTGCAGTGGAAGTTCAGCACTTCATTCTGACACTAATGGTAACAGTGACAACCCAGATCTTTCACTGTATTCTCTGAACATAGTAACACTAACTTTATAATGGATGCCACAGCAAGGGCTTGAAAGAATGACTGTCCCCTGCTGTGAAGACCACTCATTTCAAATTATTCCATCCTGGTAGTTTGTCATAGGTTTGTTTTGGGTTTGTTTGTTTGTTGGCTTTTGGGGTTTCATTGGTAAAAATACTTTTTTCCAGCTCAAATCAATACTCTATTGTCCTACTTTCTAAAGTATCTGGTCAAATTAGCATTCAGAAACAAGGTAAAGTTCAAACCTCTCAATTCTTGTCATCAGTATTTGCTTTCATTCCCCGTTAAGAAATGGTATTTTGAGTTTGCTTTTCTGCTTCTACTTTTAACATTATTGGCACAATTGGGACTGCTTATTAAAAAAAGCATTTACATAACATGAAATTCCACAGACTAATATAAGAGTTTATCTGTAAATATTTACATTTGCTCCCCAAGGTAATACCTTGGATTTAGTCAAGAGTTTGCTACTTACAATATTGTCTAAAAACCCAGAACATTTGCATTGCACAGCATCTTCTACAACAACCCAAATCCTGCAAGGTCCTTTACAGTGAGAGGTGTCTATCTACTACCTGGTAAAATGGCATGCGAAAAACCAGTATGTCCTAACATCACCTTTCCAAAACATAAACCAATCAGGTTTAGAAATGGTGGACTTTCAAAGTCTTGGAAAGGAGGAGGGCAGGAAATTCAACATTCTTACTAAGAGCATTTCCAGAACTCATACTCTCTCACAAATACTCTCAAGTTAGACATTAACCTTACCTTGAGCAGGTACGTAGGAATGTTACTGAAATCTACAGGCAACTTCAAGAGGAAGCGAGCTGAGAATTCTCCAGTCTGTGGAAGAAAGGTAACACTAATGAGACCTGGTGTCTAAGACAGAACCACAAACTGAATGTTCCGAGAATGAAGTAGTAACAAGGAAAATGTGAGCGCTCACACCAAGCAGAAGGGTTTACATTTAGAACGTTTCTTACTGGAATTACTTTAGATGGAGAAAATAATTTACAGATTTCACAGACGTTACGAGAAAACACCTTAAAAACCATAAAACATCACTGCCAGTAAGTCAACATCAAAAAGTAGTCAGAATACAATGTGCATGACAAAAACCAGACTAGGTTGTTAGGCCCTAAATAGAGACCTGTCTTAGCTGTACTCATTTCCGGACAAAGGCCTGGCAAGACATGCAAACAGCCTGAAAACAAAGCTAAAAACCTGACAAACGTAAAAGAGCATATACATGAGAGAGAGGCATCTTCCCAAGTGAATTTCGAATGACTACTGTGACACCGTACCACAAGCGTCCTCTGAATAAACATAGAGGAAAGAACTGAAGTAGCAGGTTTTATAATTAATTTTGAGAATTATGTGACTTTTAACACCTAGACAACAGTTTACTCAGAATTTGCCAAGCATCCCCTACACATTGCTCTTTATTTATGCATAAAGCGTATGCAAAGGAAGTGGAAAGGATTTCCTTTCTGTTACATACACTTCCCGAAAACCAGACTTTGTCCACCTGGTTATGAAGCAATGAAGTTGGTTCTTTTTTGAAAAACAAATGCCTGCCTGATTTCCACTATATTAATTTTTTGTTCATCTCTATTTTTTAATTCAATAAAATAGCCATATAGCAGTTATATCTGTCACGTTGAATTAGCCATACAAAATGCATTAAACATTAACTGCATAGCTATGTATAGAAAATTGGGGTATCTTGACACAAGGTAGCAAAACTTGTTTTCAGTTTTCACAGGGCCCTGTTTTTGCACACACCCCTTACTTAGTTACATAGTACCATACAACTTTTAAAACATAGTACTTCATTTTAACAGGCAAGGGGACAAATCAAAGGTGTATGAATATGTAGCATCCGTTCTTCCACAGTAACACATGTGCTACTGCACTGTTTCCTGAATGTATGAACTATGCAACAAAAAGTGAACATATATTAAAGCCAGACTTTTCATCATGATACTACTTGTGAGGATAGATGCCAACTTTCTGAAGCTGTATTATTTATGCATGCAGAAAAATCACCGCCTTCTTGTGCATGTATAACACAAAGACTGCTCTGATGACAGCCAGGGCACTTGCTTTTTATTCAGAGTGAAACTGATATCATAGACAGTGCTTCTTGTCTGGATTTAGCTTCCAAAAAATGCCCCAGGACATTGGCCATAAAATCCAGAAAGTTATTTCTGGCAAAATACCAACTCTGATGAAGAGGGATTGCCATTGAACAGATAAATGGCCTCTGATCAAAACATCAGCTGCTCCAAGACATGGGAGTAAACAAGGACTCACAGACTACATCTCTGTGTCATTCAACCATGATTATTTTGCAGAGCATTACTTCTCAAAGTGTTCTGGAGGGGCAGGGAGCAGTCCCTGTCCATGGTGCTCGCCTACCCAAATCCAACCACCTGGTCACAGCCATCAGGTAGAGTCAAATGAATCTCTGGCCACAGCACTGAGAGATTATAGAGGTAATGGGCATCTGTATCAGTCAGTGCTCTGCCAACATGAAGCTGCTGAGCTAGATAATCATAGAATCATAGAAAATCAGGGTTGGAAAGGACCTTCAGATCATCGTTTGTTTATTTGTCATTGATCTTGGAGGCACTTCACAAAATTGGAGATTCTGGAATAAATGCATAAGAGAAAATTTCTGTTCCATTTTGGGACACAGCACTGAATTGAGGCCTCCTCTTCAAAGCTTTCTAACTCATGCACTTATAATGATTGCTTTCATAACATTGTACAAGGTTCACTCATAGATGATAACTTCATGAGCCTGGTGAGCTACTATTGATCCCTGAGAGATGGCAATAACATGATTTTCAATGACTTCCAGGAAAAGGAGGTAACATGCAGCTTATCTCATTTTTCATATAAACACTCCTGTTGCCCTGATAATCAAGACTAACAAAACAGTTGTAAAGGACAGGAAAAAGAACACGAGTTAGTTTCATAGTTTTGAGTTTTAGGACACTCATAAACAAGCCTCTGTCATGTATATAGCAGGTTCATAGAACCTCCAAACAAGGCTCTCAGTCTTTTCTTGATAGAGAATATAAACTTTGAAAACAAAGCACACGCTACAGAAACCTCAAATAGCTCTGCAGTGATTTAAAGGATTTATCCCAAAATGTATGTAAGATTTATTTTATGGAAGTATTTTTAACTAAGACAGCATTTCAAATATAAAAAAAATAAACTGTTTATTCAGTCATTAAACAAAGACTGAGGAAAGACTTAAAAGACTCAAGTAGATACTGCTTTCCTATTGAAAAAAAAAAGGAAAACACCCATAGTTTTCTACAGTCTTGAGTGGAATTTTGACAGCTGCCAAAAATTGTGACAAAAATCTCAGTAAAGTTCAGGAAGTCTTTTGCGTTTCAATAAATTAGTCTGATGATATTTACAGATGTGGCAAGTTGTTTGTGATGGGAGCTATAGAGAACAACATTTAAGAACAAATTAATGAAATATTCTGATCTATGAACATCAGAAAACTGAAATTCTCTGATAAAGAAAATTTTACTTGGCTTAAAATAAAAAGCCTATGTGACTTGTCTAAGAAAAGAAAAACAGTACTGAGAGTTGTAAACATCCTTGTGTCACCTGTAACTTAAGGACGATTAAAGTGACATAAAGCTGAATTTTGGGCCCTGATAACAGGAATGCTGAATTTTCATCAGTTTTCTATTTCAGCAGATGCTGCTTCTGAAGGCCAGTATATCCTGAGAGTATGCTATTGATGAAAGTAAGAGGGAGACGTGTTCAGCATAAACACAATGGAGTATTTCCTGACATATCTGACTCCAAACTTCCCATGATAAATATATATTACCAATGCAAAAAAAAAAAAAATGATTTTTGTAAAGCTTATTCTGTGGCAGAGATCCATTTAAAAATCCTAAAAAAATAAACCACCCATAAACCAAAATGCCTACAGTGCCAATAGCCTCATTATAGGAGGATGAGATGGTATACATGGAGCATTTCTATGCAGCACGACACATTTCCTTAGGCAAAGGATACAACTTCAGGAAACAGATAAGCCAGTTTAATGTCTAACTGTTGTATGAAGACATGGCCCTACAAGGTCACTGCTCTAACCCCATGTCACCTCTTACTGTCCTTCTGCAGAAATTGTGGTGGTTGGGGTTTTTTTTCTCCAGTTTAGGTTCCTGAAACAACTCAGCTTAAACAAATGCCAGAGGGACACAGGCAGCTGCAGCGACTCAATCGTAATATGGCACCACACCCTAATACATCCTACCTTTAAGCAGGCTGACTAGGACAGGGCATCATACCAACACTGTTATTCTGCCTCTCAAATCTTCAGAGCTAACTCAAACTTCCAAACACTACACTGTGCCCTGTAAATACTGCACAGGCCATTCAACAGTTTTCACAGCTTTCATCTGTAACTCAGATGAACTAACACCAGGTTGAGAAACAGTTACTCACCTGGAAATCTGGTTCGACCAAGGTAGTTCAATGACAACAATGTACAAAACAGGAACATAAAAAGTGAGCTGAAGTCAAATAGAAGTTTTCTCCATTTGAAACAAGGCATGGAGATTCACAGAAACAACTCAAGTTTAGCAAGATAAGAGCTGTATTTATTAAAATGAAAGTGTCACTAAAAACACTTTGGCAGAAATATTCTTAATAGCTTACCCAGTTGTTTTTCTTGCCAGCATAGATTTCCATGTTTTCTCCATACTGGGGCTCTTCAAGTAAAGTCTGATATTCGAACATGAGACGAGAGCTCTCACGTAATCGGCCGCATTGAAATTGGTGATACTGCTGCACAAGCTCTTTCACAACAAGCAGGAGACATTCAGGGTTTGAAGGATTCCAAGAAGCTAAATTCTGTTGAATTAGAAAAGAACAGAGACCAAAATTGTCTACAGCAATAGAAAGACAAGCACTCCCCCTTCCATACTGACACTAAAGGCATGAATGCACATGGAAGCTTTGTGACAAACAAAATAAATCATAATATTAAATGCAAAGTTTATATCATGCTTTGGAAGGAAACCAGGTCATGACTTTCAGCAACACGATTCATGATTTTTGAATGACTGTGGCTGGCAGTGCTGCATTAACTGTCTACTCATCACTCATTTCTGTGATTAAAAACATACATCTCTGTCACATGAAAATGGTTGGGGGAAACAAGAGTTCTGGAAGGTGGTGATCCCATTGTTCAGAAACACAGACATTGTTCTTGCTTTGCTAAAAAGACAAACTTATGATCTTAGAATGTGGATGGAGCACTTAGGGGAACACTTGCCCCTGAGTACAGATTTGAAAAGGACCGGGTATCTACATCATTTACAGACTCACCCAAGACTGACAGGCTCAGCTTAAAAAGCACAACAGGACATAACTGCTGATCACAATTCGCTTTGTTTTACATGGATGAATGAACAGTTCAATGAACAGTTACAGGAATAAACTGTACTCCTTAAACCTCTGTCCTTAGAAGCTACCACAGTGTCACAGACTTTACATTTGATGATGGCTTGAAGTAGATGCACTGGTTTGGGGTTGGGTTTTTTTTCCCTTCTAGACAGTAAGAACACTTATAAAATGAGAATATTATCACTTCCATATCTTAAAAAGTAAATTACATTCTGGAGTAATTGTTGAATGGCTGAGATACTAATGTGATTCATCTAAGTTCCTCAAATACATACTACCAAGAGACTAAAAGCCTTGTTCTACCTTGTCTGCATCTACAGCTTGCAAAACCCCATCTTGACCCATTTAAGCCTATCCAATTCTACAGAATTTGTCAGGTAGACAGCGTCTTCTAGGAAACACATTTTGTATCAAGCAGTCTAAAACCAGACAGAGTATAACCTTAAATTTCCTGTTCCCAAGCTGCTGCTGAAATAAAGCATTTCCAGAAAGCCAGAGGATGTAATATGCCAGTATGTATTGATATCAGCCAGACAAGTGGGAATAACCTTTCCTCCTAATGTCATTGGTATAACACAATAGAAATGTTCTGTCAAAGGAAATGACCAGCAATATTTTAATAACTGACCTAAATGCAACCAAACCTTTTGTTTTTTAAGTAACATTACACTACAGAACAAAAAAAAAAAACCTGAGCAAGAGGAAATCCATTGTCATCTGTCCAGCATAGAGCAAGAGTACTGCTCTCTTCAAAGAATTCAAGAACACTGCATGAAAGCTGGCTTTATGCTGTATTGCCTTAAAGCTACATGAATTAAAATGAATTATTTGACTGTAGGATCCTTACTAAATACCTTTCATTCAGTAAATATTCAAACCAAGTACAACCTGGTTATAAAAACAAATCACCTGGAGAAAAACTCAACTACCCACCCAGTGCATACATCAATTACAACAGATTCTCACTGATGAAAGCATAAATATACAATGGTTAAACACATTCTCTGTAACACAAATTCTCATTTAAATAAACATCCATTTTGAACTTTTGAATTATAGTATTGTAGTGCTTCTTGGCTGGCAGTTATCCATTGCATTTCTGCCCATTCTGTTAACTTTGCAGAAGTGCTGCTCTTTTCAGAAAATCAAATCTTCCAAATTTTAACACAAACCCTTCTGTATACAATGACATATTTATGTATGCAAAAAATCTTACATAGGTAAGTGCTGCTTACTTGCCCTCATCAAGATTTATTCACCTGAAAATCCTTTAAAACCATTTTATTGTGATCCAATTTCAACAGTATGTCAAAATCCATGTTACATGGTTCTCTCAAACTCTACCTTCTTTAAACTTTCTTCTATTTTTGAAATCAAAGACAAAATAAGCAACTACCTGTAACACACACTGTTGAAACCTAACTACAGCAGAATTTGGTGTGATCTGTTGCAGAATGTCTTAAGCGCTACGGTTTCAGCATTATAATGATTCTTCCGAGAACACACAAGGATTTGTCGTTTCAGTCAATGAGTAGTGACTCTGCAACAGCAAGTTGACCTCCTTCTTTAGAGATAAAGGATCTCCTAAACAAAATTTTATTTAGCCATGCAGCATTATATTCAGCAAAACCTTAAACTAAAGGCTTTGAAGCGAAAAGAAGGGTAGCCTGTGCGCTTATGTTCTGATTGTTTGCCTGAAGGCTGTATTCCAACCCTAGCCAATGCAGCTTTTTAAAGAAATAGTATTTTAAAACACTTTAAACATTAGAAGAACAAAGTGAGCTTCCAGTATTTCTGTTCTCCACGGATCCAAGTTTTGCCACAAAACTCAAATCTTGCGTAAGAGTCATGCTCTGAAAGCAACTTCAAAATCATGAGGTTTCAGAAAAACCCTGGAACAAACATAACCTCATTTTCTGCAGCCAGACTGCTGAAGCCTGGCAGGTACGAAAAATCTAATTCAAGAAATAACCAGCAAATATGTACACAGCAAAAGACTTGTTGCTTTCTGTGGCTTCGGTCAAAACCTCCTTCTGCTCTTCTCAATATGACCTTCAATTTTGTCGCTGACAAAATTTATACATTCACATCATCGTACCAGAACATCATGCATGCCAAAAAGACAGGGTTTGGTTTTTTTTTTTTAATCTGAAATTACTATAAAATTCCAATTTAAATGAATTTTATATTACAAAATGACCATACTGACTGGGGTTTTAAGTCAGGTCTTTCACTCAATAAATCTTTTCTAATTTGAAATGAGATTTCTGCAGACTTTCCAGGGAGTTAATCAAATTTTACAGAACAATCATTAAAGCATTTAAAATAAAGAAATACAGAGTTGGATCCAATTCCTTCTCTGGTTTGCCAATAGATATCTTTTAAGTGAACTCTGCAGTGCAAACTCTCCAAGTTTCTCGTAAGTTAGCCAGCTAGACTGAAAGTGGCCCACTGTACAACAATATACAAGTATGAATCAACCCAGACTGTGCATCTTCAACTAGATCTGCATTTATGCTTGTCTCATATGAAGGCTTATATTCACATCTCAGATTGGTTATGACCATTTTTAAGGTTATTTTTTCAGCTTATCATAGAACATACCTGTCATTTCTGAGCACATGCATGGAGGCTCAGTTAAATACTTCTCTCTGTCTAGACACTGCTCTTATGTCTTTCTATAATTCCAAAAAACCAGGTTCTTCAGACCTTAATTTCAAGCTTTTAATTGGATTTTGGCTTGGTCATACTGCATCAAAAGATGACTATGTATTTTGGTATGCATATATATATATATATAAACCATATATTGTATAGTTTAGTAGCATCACAAGATGACTATGTATTTTCTTGCATTACAAAAGTCCAGTAATGTCATCAGTGACAACCGGCTAATCCCCATTTTCACCATTAAGGAATGAATTGAAAATGTAATGGAACAGGAACTTCCATATGACAAACCATCGATGCCCACAAGTTGTAGCTACTGTCCTACAGAAGATGACCAATAAATCTTTACCTATCTGTGAGAAAGCAATTCAACTTAAGGAAGCTGAGTATTCTTTAGTAGTGGAAGCTTCCCTGGCAATTGCTAACCTTTTTCTTTATTGGCCTACATTTCAGGATAAGGTCTTAGAGAAAATTAGAACGCTAGATCTTAAGAGTAATTAACCAATAGCATGTATGTCCACTAATTCTGCCCTCCACCTCACACTGTGTGGCAATATAAAAACAATATACCGTTATTATACAAAACCTAGTTGACAGTAGGCATCCATTAAAGTATGTCTACACTAGAGAAATGCAAAGTGATTCAGGAGGTCTGTTCTGAAGATCTGCCAGATAATCAGTTCAAACAAGCTCACCAAAGAGCATCAAGTTGCACTAAGAAGTATAACCCCATAGATTTTGTTGGGCTGCAGAGTCAATCTTCCTTTTCTCTGGGTTTTGATCCTGTCTCCTGCCAGCAGTTGGTTCCATAGCAAGTAAGCAAGGGGTTTAGGCTGTAAGACACAACCAAGGTACTGAGAAAACAAATATACTTAAGAGCGTGTATAAAGAGGCAAAAGATATCATAAGGCCACCCACAGAGTGAAAATGAAGCCATTTCAACAGTAACTCATTTAAATGACTAGCAGTGACACCAACTGGATTTCAGGAAGAGACAAAGAAGATTTGCAGGCAGACGGTATCAGTTCCAGTGAGATGATCTTAGAGGTGAGGCAAGTGAACCCCCCCCACATAAAGCAGCTTCTCAGGCCCACTAGCAAAAACATGCAGACTCCAGGTTTCCAAAGTAGCCATACTACTCAACTTTTGGCAAAGAAACCACATTTAAATTTTGTTCTGGAACATTTTGTGCTTTGCAATCTTTCCTTTATCCTTCCAAAAAATCTAACTGAGAACCTATGCGAACTACTCAGTGTCTGTGATTACCTATTCCTCCTTTTTTAGAACATAATGCACCTCATGTTCCATCAGCAGCTAATTCATAGCCTCCTTCACAGGTTACTGCTTATTTCATAACTCCAGGCAACGTCTGCAGTGAAGTATAATTCTACGCTATCAGAAAGAAAATACGATCATTTCTAATTGATCTGAAGTTGTTTTTCTTTGAAAATGTGTTTAAATATCCAGGTTGCCAGAATATCTTCCAGGAATGTGATTTTTAAAGAAGACAGATTGTAACTGTTTTTCCTGGCTATACTACAGGAAACAACACCAAGATCTTATTTTAAGTTAGTGTACTTTTATATTTCTAAGCAAGAAATTAACTTCCACGAGAAAGAAATCAGTAAACAAAACCTCCCAAGCCCGTAACAGTGGTAATGCATCTCTACAGATCTTTCATCCAGAATTATCATAAAGAATAATGCAAGGACAGATTTGCATTTTGTTTATATCTCTGCACACTACATGCACGCAACTTGCACTCTGCAGTGGTT